CTCACCCACACACAACCTGTATGGTAGCATAACAGTATAAAGCCCTAATTCGTCATTTGCCCCCAACAAGCTTACCCGTGAAACCTATCGATACAAATGACATCAATGTCAAACAATCATTACCAAAAGCACCACGGGAACCAGGCATTCTGTGAGAGTTGCGATATGGTCCAAAATGTCCAGCTGGACCATTCTGGCTAATCCAAAACTCTGACAACAATGTCTAGGCGCCACTACACTTAAGGCCTTAAATCCTCAATACTGGAAAAGTAATAATCCCAAGTCTCAAAACATCGTTGCCAACCACACCAATCAAGAATCCAAAACCTAACGAGTCTATACCCTCAAGCCAATGGATTGGACTTTACAAAATTAAACAACATCACCTCCACCCTAGTCACAATAACTCCTAACAAGACAATGCACCCAAAATCCTCCACGTCATCCTAAAGCTGACCTACTACAAGGCTACGACTAGGAATTAAGACATTGAATTAAGCTCACACACACAATCCCGATAACCAAGGTCATACAACCCCAAGCACAGTGCGGAATGAGAAAAAGGAATAAACTAATAAAGGAATTAGTCATGAAACATATATATACGTATGCAAGTATACATTCACAAGTATACTAAGAAATATCAAAATGGAAATACAATATATGTGTAAAAGTATACATCCCCAGGTATACTAAGCAGTACTAAATCCATGGTAGACAAGTATATAGGCTCAGGTATACTAAACCAAAATGAACTGAAATAAACAACGTGCAAGCATACTAGGTACAAGTATACTAAATGTAAATAAAAGTCCACACACCATACAACTAAACACATAGTGTACAAGGGCAATCAAGTATGTTACCTATCACATAGAGGTCCAGTATTAGAGACACGCTACACATCACCTATGACGCTAGCATGACAAGCAGATATAGTAAATAGTCACATCCCCTAACATATTTCTAAGGCATGCGCAAAACAACAAGGCATATAAACATATAGGAATGACTATACAAATAACAATCCCATAAAATCAGAAGCAAGAAGGGACAAAATGCCTCTCAAAAGGATGAATTTTCCAAAAAGAAATCTCAAAAACCCGGATGAGTCCAATCCCTCACCGCGAGGAAATGAATCATCTTCCAGAATGGATACGATGGTCCCTGAAACAAAAGTCTACAAGTCTTTCTCAAGACTGGCTCAAACACAAGGTGGAATCCTAATGCCACACAAAACAAACAACGATGTAAGGGATAGTTCCAACACTAACCATTAAGAGACACCAACAAGAGAACTCACCTCAAGATGCCAATGAGTTCGATGAGAACTCCACAGGATCCTATCGGGACCCTAAACACAAAATTCCAAGTCTACAAGGACGAGGGAGAGTAATTAATTGCACCAATGCAATTAATTACACGAAACCACTCACACCCCAACCTTAACTCGTAAGAGCTATCCAAGGCAAGACAAGAAGATATCCTAGGTCAACGCACCTATCAAATCCCTAACCATCACTTTAAAAAGAAAAGACATGAGGACCTCACCATCGAGGCTCATGAAAACAAATATCCCAATTCCCAAGGAAGGACTCGAGTCAATCCGACCTATCGTCCCATGACGCTAGAAATAAGACCCCAATGATATCATCACATCAAGGTCACCACGAAACTTCAAGAAATGATGCCCTAGCATCAATCTCAATCAACCAAGCTAGGACAACCCGTAATGCCTAAACAAGACACAAAAGTAAGCAGTTGACACGTAACATACCAATAAACTACATATTCACACAAGTAGTAAGGCCACATAAGGCAAGTCAATGTATGCATCATACAATCAAGCTAAGGATGACAAACACATGCAATACGCTAAGGCAAATAAGCATAACCCACATGCTAAGTAGACAAGCGTAGATTGAGATACTAAAACAGACAGCTGACAAGCATATATAGTATGCCAAGGCAGACAAGTACATACAATAAGCTAAAACTTACAAGTATATATATAATGTACTAAAGTAAATAAACACATGTATCATGCTGAGACAGTTACAGTAAACTTCTAAACATACGTCCATATAAGCACGTAAACATGTTATCAAGAAGTAACTAAAAACATAGAGTATGGCAACACAAGCATAATATGCACCCAAAACCTATCATCCTAAGGTTTTTGAACCTAGGAGCTCTGATACCACCTGTAGCAGCCCTATAATGAACCGAACGTAGATCCGATAATAAATCCAGAATGCGGAAGCAAGAAACAAGACAACGGTCTTCTAAGGCACAACACACCTCTAAGACACTTTGATGACCTTCCATGAGGTCGTGGAACTCAATGAGAACAGACGCGAAAACAAAAGATCAGAAAAATAACAATTAAGCCCCCAGGGGCAAAATAGTCATTTTACATGAAAATGACGTCCCTAGAATGTATATCATTCCCGAAACACATTCATGACTTTCCATGAAGTCATGGAACTAAAAAAAAAAGTAGCGAAAACGGAAAGCAAGAAAAACTAAGCAAAAATAGCCCCAAGGGCAAAATAGTCATTTCTAAAACTATGGATTCGGGTGCCATCGAGTACACCACTGAAAAGATAATGAAAAACTAATCAAGATGGACTCAAGAATCGCATGATTCGGAGTTCGGACGAAGAAGAAACGGCATGACAAAGAAAAACGAGCACTTAAGGCTAAAAAGGTAAACTGGTAATTATCCAGGAAGATCTGGGTGTAACCGAGCACACCGTTGGAACAATAGAAAAAAATTAGTCAAGTTCAATGGAAGAAACGGCGTCGAAAATCTAGTCCCGAGCAGAGAGATATGCCCCGAACAAGTTCGGCGGCAACCGGGGCCAGAAACCCTAAAACTGGGGGAAAACGACCAGAAGACAATTCTAAGAGTACACGACTCGATGAAAAGTGAAAATAAATCCCGTACGAGTATCCAGGTTCAAAACAAGGCATTTTTGTAATACTTTCATTAATTGCACAAAAGCCCCTCCAAAAAGTGAAAACTGCACTAATGACCCAGAATGAAAATATCTTCCAAAAATATTTTCTTAAAAATCCCTAAAATAAAATATCTTCAAAAGATATTTATGAAAAAACCCCAAGCAAAGAAAAAGATTTTGAAAAACTATGTATCCATGCCCCTATGGACACCGGGAACAACCAAAGTACTTTACTCCAAAAGTAAAGATACGTATTTCATGGAAACCACTTAGAATGAAGATATGTGAAGTCAAAAACCAACTCCGAATACAGAAAGTAAGGTTCTGCCAACCAAGTGACAAATAGGGAAAAGGACGAAAAGTGAATAGTATCAAAAAACGAAAAATGTGAAAATGACTCGGTCCTTAAAGGAAGTTGTCAATCCAAAGGAAAGAGTCTCGGAAACTATTTTCGAGTACCTGAGATGACACTAAGTGACAAAAAACCGAACTCAGAAAAGAAATTTCAACCAAAAAAAATTCATCCGTATAATTCTGAGGAAAAAGGAAAGGAAAGAAATGACCGGGTCATTACAGCTTTGAGGTCGTCGAGATCCATCCATCTTACAATCCCTTGATGGGAAGAGGGCAGATTCACAGGTCCAGGGTGTCCCGTCGACTTTGCACCAGGTGATGAGATGCTTGAGCCCGAATGGGAGTAAGGTAATTGACATCCATGGGGACCAGGTCGCGGCCAAAGAGTGTTATTCTGTAACGCTAAAAGTTACTGGGAAGGGAAAAGCTCCAGCCTAATCTGATTGCCCAAGATAACAATTACAGGGGCCTCTACCCAAAAAGGCTGGGGAGGAGGAAGAGCCTTTGGTTCTTACCGAAGAGCCCCTCGTTGATATGCAGATAGATCCTTACAGGCCGAAAAAAATTACAAGGGTAGGGTTAAGGCTTACAAAGGAGGAGGATAGCAGTTAATTAATTTCCTATCCCAGAACGCAGATGTGTTTACCTTAAGCCATTCAGATATACCTAGAATCAATCCCTCTGCATCTTGTCATTCCTTCAATATTAATCCGAAAGCCAAATCTGTAAAACAAAAGCAGAGGAGGTTCGACCCAGAACACAATCAAGTCATAGCTGATGAAATTGACAGATTGTTAGAGGCAGGATTCATCAGAGATAGAGAGTTTGATAGAAAGCACTTGGCTCTCAAATGTGGTTATAGTGTAGAAGAAGAATGGGAAATAGAGAGTTTGTATTGATTTTACCAATCTGAACAAAGCTTGTCTAAATGATAGTTTTCTGTTACAAAAGATTGATCAAATGGTGGATGCCACTACTGGGTACGAATGGTTAACTTTTTTGTACGCCTATTCAGGCTATAATCAAATCCCTATAGATCCGAATGATGAGGACAAAACTTCCTTTGTCACCAAACGAGGGATTTACTGCTACAGAGTCATGCCGTTCGGATTAAAAAATGCTTGAGCCACTTACCAAAGGCTAGTCAGCAAAATTTTTAAAAATCAAATAAGTATAAAGAGCAAGAAGGAGGACCATCATTTGAAACATTTGCAAAATGTGTTCGGAGTATTGAGGAAGTATGGTATGAAGCTTAATTAACCAAATGCTCGTTCAGTGTGGGTTCTGGGCAGTTCCTTGGACATGTGGTAAACAACAGAGGGATTGAAGTTAGCCCAGCCCAAGCAGAAGCTCTAATAAAAAATGCAGAACCAAGAATAGTTAAGGAGGTGCAAGCGCTCACCGGATGAATAGCCACACTGAGTCGATTTATTTCTAAGCTGTTAGATCACTGTAAACTATTTTTCGATACAATAACAGGCCATGGAAGGCAAGCCTAGGGGAAGAGCAGCAACATGCACTAACCAGTTTGAAAAAATATATGTGGAACCTTCCAGTCTTATCTACCCCAGAACCAAGTGAAAAACTTTTCATGTACCTTAACATATCTAGTACTGCAACAAGTGTCGTTTTGGTGTAGTGTGAAAGGGTAAGCAGTTCTCAGTGTTTTATGTTAGCAAAACAATGGTTGAGCCGGAAAGAAGATACTCAAAGGCTGAACGAGTGTTACTATCATTGGTGAATACGAAAAAGAAACTCAGGCATTATTTTGAATCCCATCCTATCATTGTTCTGACCACTTTTCCTATAAAGGTGATCTTGCATAAGTTAGATCTGTTTAGGAGAATGACAAAATGGGCCATAGAGTTGAGTTCATTTGACATAACGTATGAACCCAGAACGGGAATAAAAAGACAAGCCGTGGCTGATTTCCTGCTCAAATATGATGTGGAAGATATAGAAGAAGACCTTGAAAGCTTTTCATGGAAGCTTCTCGTTGATGGCTTCTCAAATCAAATGGGTGCAGGAATTGGGATCAAACTGCAGACACCAGAAGGCATCACGCTGAGTCAAGCAATTAGACTTGAGTTCCAAGCAACCAATAATGAAGTAGAGTATGAAGCATTGCTGGTAGGATTGAAGTTTGCCAAAGAACTGAAGATCAAAAGGCTAGTTGCTTTTAGTGATTCACAACTGATCATTCGGCAGGTGATAAGGGAGTATGGTACCAAAGATAAGACAACAGATGCATATCGTTCTGCGGTTATGCATGAAGCAAAAGACTTTGATCAAATCAAGTTCATCCAGTTGCGGAGGGAATGTAATGAGGATTCCGATCGGTTAGCTTGTAGAGCGTTAAGTTCTGGAAAAACATTGGCAAGAATGATTCCAATTGATGTGTTGTGCCAACCATCTATCTTCGAGGAATCATCTAGCTCAGATCCTCGGCAAGTAATTGTCATACCATATGACCTGAGATGGATTAATCCAATCATGACTTTTATACAAGATGGCGTGTTGCCCGAACGGAAAGATGAGGCAAGAAAAATCAGATCAAATACTGCAAAGTATGCAATTGTGCATAACCAGTTGTATAGAAGGTCTTTCTTAGGACCATACTTGAAATGTGTTACCCCCTCAGAAGTTAGGCATATCCAGCGAACGATCCATGAGGGTGTGTGTGGCAATCATTTAGGAGGGATATCTCTGGCGCACAAGGCGATGACGCAAGGGTATTTCGCCGAACATGTCGCGTGATGCAGCAGAATTTTATAGAAGATGCGATAAGTGCCAAAGGTTCGGACCACTGATTCACCAACCACCTGAAGACTTGCACGTAATGGCCAAACCATGGCCTTTCGCGCAATGGGGGATGGATGTGGTTGGTCCTTTGCCGACCGCAAGATCACAGAACAAATACGTTCTACTTGCAACAGATTATTTTACCAAATAGGTAGAGGCAGACCATATCCCAGTGTAACCCAGACTCAAGTAAAGTGCTTTATTTGGAGTAATATTATTTGTCATTTTGGCGTGCTGAGATCGATTGTTATGGACAATAGGACAAATCTTGACAGTAAGCAAGTGAGGGAGTTACTAGAAGAATATAGAATTAATCAAAAGTTAGCAGCGATTAGCCATCCACAGTCAAATGGTCAAGCTGAAATCACAAACAGAACAATTTTTGTTTGTATTAAGAAGAAGCTTGAAGACGAAAATGGTAAATGGTTGGACGAGCATCTGAACGTCTTGTGGGCTTATAGAATAACCCCAAGACAATCGACCGGAGAAAGCACAGTCGCTATGGCGTACGGTACCGAGGCGGTAATACTGGTTGAGTACTTAGTTCCGACTGTTTGAAGTTTGGCATGGAATCAAGAGCAGAATGATAGTATATTGAAATTTAACCTCAATTTGTTGGAAGAGAAAAGAGATGCAGCAGCATTAAGGCTGCTTCATATTAGCAAACGAAGGTAAAGATTTTGCACCTGGTGATTTAGTCCTGAAAAAGAAGGTAGGAATTGTCAAAAAAAATGATGTCACCGTGGGAGGGTCTATACAGAGTTGCAGAAGCCATAGGAAAGGGGGCATACAATTTAGAGACCCTAGCTGGAAGATTGGTCAACAAACCATGGAATGCCACATCTCTAAAAAGGTACTACCAATAAAAGATTGAATTTCATTCTGAACAATTTTCATTTAGAATTACATTCTTACACATATATAAACTCTTCAAGATTTATAAAAAGCGTTCATTTTGTTTCAAAAGTTAATTGAGTAAAAAACACTTAGCCAAGTAAGTGGCAAATGGCACTACAAGTCAAACGCCAAACACTTGTGAAAAGTCAAGTGGCAAGGGGCATTCTAGCCGAGCGCTAAGCACTTAGTCAAATAAGTGGCAACTGGCACTATGAGACAAACGCCAAACACTTGTACAAAAAAAAAAAGTCATGTGGCAAATGGCATTATAGATGAGATCTAAACACTTAACCAAGTAAGTAGCAAATGGCACTACGAGCCGAACGCCAAACACTTGTGAAAAGTCAAGTGGCAAGTGGCATTCTAGTCGAGCGCTAAGCACTTAACCAAGTAAGTGGCGAATGGCACTATGAGTAGAACGCCAAACACTTGTGAAAAGTCAAGTGGCAAGTGGCATTCTAGCCGAGTGCCAAGCACTTAACCAAGTAAATGGCAAATGGCATTACAAGCCAAACGTCAAACACTTGTGAAATGTCAAGTGGCAAGTGACATTCTAGCCGAGCGCCAAGCACTTAGCCAAGTAAGTGGCAAATGACACTACGAGCCAAACGCTAAACAAAAAAAAAAAAAAAAAACCAAATGGCATTCAAGCTGAGCACCAAGCATTTAACAAATTAAGTGGCAAGTGGTACTGTGAGCCGAACGCCAAACACTTGTGCAAAACAAAACTCAATTGGAAAGATTAAACTATCAGTTCATTTAAAGCACAAGTTGAAGTATGGAGGTTCTGGAAAACAAAATTGTCATTTCATTTATTACCACAGAAAGGTCCTTGATTTACAAAAGGTGACACTGAAATGAGAGAAAATAAGTACAAAAGGCTAGCATAAATCTATTATGTCACATCTTCTCACGTGCCTGATCCATTGCCCATTCTACCATCGTTGGATGCCTCGTCACCACCAGTTGGTTCATTGTCTTTTTCTTTATCATTGATTGTTTCCTCGCCCCTAGAGGAGGAGTCAAGATGGATGACATCCTTAGCTGGTAAGGTTCTCTCAGTGGCAACGATGGCGGAAGGAATAATCGTGGTTATGGGAGAGATGCTCAGGGGACGAATAGAAGGGATGATCCCAGAAGCTGCAATCTCACAGCATTCAATGAATATGTTCTCGACCGGAACAGGAAGATGATCCTTGTAAACGCTCGGCGGATCAATGCCCAGAGAAGTGTCAAGGTCATCTGGACCTGCATAGAAGCTTGACTCACCTTCGGGAGGGGATCGGTCAATAAAACCATCCCTGTACCCTTTCGCATATCTGAGCGCCCCAATTCGAGAAAAACGGGCGTGAAGAGCCTTCATGCCACCATCAACTCTGCCTATGACATTGAGTAGAGCGGTGCATTCATTTGAGAATTTTTCTTCTAAAATGGAATTGGTCAATCGTTCAGCAACAAAAGTGCGCTGAAGGTCCCCATTCTCAACTTTTAGAGCATCTCTCTCGGTCTGCATGACATTTTTTTCTATTTTTAGGATCTCAAGCTCATTGTGAAGAGAGTCTCGCTCATTCTTCAGAGTATCCTCTCAGCTTTCAGAACATCCCTCTCCTTCTCTGATTAATTCAATTTGGCCAGCAACTCTGAGTTTTTAGCTTCAGTTGTCCTTTCTGCTTGGACAGATCTATTAAGGCCGAGAGAGAGCCTTAATCCTCCTATTTTCCATTTCAAGGTTTTTCTGAAAGGTGATCATCCCAAACAGAGTCTGCACAAAGATACAAGCATACTGGTAAGTACAAGTAAAAAAAAAAAATGGATGAAAGATGATGTAAAAGAAAAGAGATCTACCTTAACAGTGGTTGCAGGGAAACGTTGAAACATTTCACTACAAGTTATCTTCTCCTAGGTCTAAAGGTCCTGAGGGGTCCAGATACCCCTATAGAAGGCAAATGAGGTGGCAGGATCTTTAAACACACTATCTGTGGAGGCCACAATTGATCCATCCTCCCACTTGAGTAAGGGACACCATGGAACCACTGATGGGGAAGAGCCAGAGGTTCTGGCTAACTCACTATCTGGAATGGTTGCATGAGGAGAAGGGATAGGAGTGATGACCCCGAAAGTCCGGGCCTTTCTAGCTGGGGGAAGGTCATTTTGGTTGGAACCACCCTCAGGCTGGGGTCTTTTACCCAGGTTTTTCTCTAAAATATTAGCTCGAATAGGGGAAGATTCCTCAATGTTCTGAGCAGCCGGTGGAAAAGTTTCATTTGGAGTGTCAGAGGGCCCGTCGTTCGGCAAAGAGGGTTAAACTTTAGCTGAAGTAGATGTAGAGGGTTCAGTGGTATGTTACTTAACGTTCTGACCGTAACCTGGACGGTTGGAATGGCCACAGAGGTGGCCGGGGTAATTGGAGGAGCAACTATAGAGGAGGGTTTTCTTCTTCTGCTGAACGAAGGGATCTGAATATGTTCCATGGAGGCACCAAGAATGGATATGTCAGAAAGGTTATCCGGTGTGAGCAGGTTTATGGCCGAGGGGATGCCGTTCAAAACTTTCTCCTCCAGACGATCGATTCTAGCCCCGTAAACGCTGTAAACCAATTCGTCATGAGGAATGCGAAGGCAATCACAAAGAAAAGTGCAGAAACGGGGAAGGCAAATTTCACAGGGGCAATCGGTCGGATGTTTCTTATATTTCTTGTATAAAGGGAAAAACACTCTCCGAAAATGATCGGGATAGGGAAAGACAGAGCAAATGGAGTTCGCCAATTTCCACTGACCCCAATTAAGTTTTTCCTCTAACCCTTTTCAGATGAGAGTTTGTTCGTACAAATAAATTGCTTCTCAATAAGAAAGAGGTTAAAGTACATGTCGTCAGTTCTGATCCTGATAACTTAGTAACAGAGAAGAAGATCTATGATATTTAGGTCAAGATTCCTGTCACGATTCAAAATCAAGAGATCGGATATAACCCTAAGGAAGTTAGGGTTAACCTGAAGAGGGGAAAGCCCTAATTTGCTAAGGGCATAACAAAAGAACGGGTGTAAAGGAAATCTAATTACATTCAAATGAAAAGCAGAGAAGTAGACCTCCCCTGGAAGAAGACCTTCACCAGATCTCTCATCCAAGTCCTTGGGATAAACCCTAAGGGAGACGTCGTTAAGGATTTCATTCCTTGAACGAAGAACCTCTAAATCAGGAGCCATAATAATGGCGAAGGAGATTCTCAATTTTAGATTTTCTATCTTTCAAGAAAATTAGTAAAGAATAAAGTTTTCGAAAAAACAGCAAGGAAGTGAAACTGACCTTAGAAAGAAGATTCGCAGAATATACCGTAGCGAAATGGGAGACGAAGAATTGCAAAGGAAGAACTCACCGGAGAGGTTAAGGAAAAGTCACCGGAGAAAACTGGTTGTTGGCAGAGACGATAAAAAGAGACGATGCTTGAAGGCGAACATGACTAAGGCATAGTAGAAACAAGAACTTGAGGTTTGGGGTTTTAAAAAGAGAATGTCTCGATACCCAAGGAGTTACAGCAATGATGGTGCTTCAAATCTCAAAACATGGGTCTTTAAACCAACTACTCGCCTCCCCACGTCATTACCTAGAGCAGTCTCATCATGATTGAGTCATTTCGATAATCTCACCCTAATTAATTAGGTTGAAATTATGGGGCCAGATGAGGATACCAAAAATGACCTGGGCCGGGTGCAACGTAGATCACTGGGAACGGGTCTGGAAAGAACACTTTGTTCAATCGAACCATTGCTTATTGGGCCCAAGACCGGAAGATCAGTCTGGAAGCCCAGTCTCAAAGCAAAGGGAATGGGCCTATATCCATAGTGAGCCCAAAGGATCAGCCCAGCATGAAGAGTTAGTTAGGAAGCTTCTAGAATGTTTGTAGAAGTCTATAAATAGACTGAAAAGAGAGGGCAAAGAAGTTGAAATATTTTTGAAGTGTAGAACTATTCTTTCTAAATCGAGAAAGTATATTTCTTGCCTCTTCAGTATAACTAAAAAGGTTATGTTATATCCAGAAAGAACAACGACAAAAGTTAACTT